GGTAACTCTCAATTCTTACTCGCTGGCACCTATTCCTTTAGTTTTATAAACAGTCGTCGCCATTTTAACGGTATGCATTGCGCCATCTTTTGTAATGGTAGACGTAACAATTGTGCTCTGTGAACCCTAGTAACGATAGAAAGCATTATTGTCATTAAGGAAACAGCTGGCTTTGTCTGACTATTTGACTCGTCCATAGACTCCCATGTTAGAAGAGGTAAGCACGAGAGGGGCCGGCGTATCCTTTCAAGAATGGTTTCAAAATACAGAAATGCGCTGATAAAGGTAGCCTTGGTTTGTACATATTCACATCTTCAAAGGACTGTAATAAGGATTAAGTTATAAGTTATAAGTTTAAGGTTTTTCGTAATCGTTATGCACAGCATTAATGCATGCAAAAGCTATTAATAGATGTAACTAACTATGCGCCATTTATCCCACCCGACCTCCGCGCTTAGACTGAGCAGACGTTGCAGCCCATAAATTACAGTCAGTTCGTCATTTCCGGCCGTCATTTCTTTGTGCCAGTTTTGATTAAGTAAAGAAATAACTTTTAGACGAAGGCGGGTCCAAGATATTGTAGAATGCACTTTTCTCACGGTTGGTAAACAGATTTAAGTGGGTTTTGAGACAAGTTACTTTTCAATCACTTCTTTTGCTATCATAAAATAAGGCAGTTTTGACTTTTGAGTTTGCCGACGAACTCCTGTAGTATGATTCCCTGGATACAAGAGGTTTCCGCAAGCGGTGATAACGCGGAAAAAAAGCGCGCGTGACCAGTGTTTCGACTTTGATCTCTATTTGTAGCACACGTGGGATTTCATTGGCGACCTCAAGGCCAAAAAAGCCATGACGTGCCTGAAGTGTTTCGTAAGCTTAGTGAAAGCATAGTTCGTCGTCACGTACTCTGTACGTGTAGACAAATATTTACAATTTGGGTACGTATATTGTCAATGTTGGGTAATTTGAACAAAGGTCAAAAACATGTCAAGTTTCAGTTGTTGATAAATTTAGAGCCAGCCCCACCCAAAAGCTTGATATTTTCAAGAGTGATTCCCCGATAGGTGCAAAAGGCAGCGGTGCGAACGTATTTGTAAAACTTTTGGTTCAAAATGGGATGACGTTTTTCAGAGCTTGTCCATAGTTCGGTGCAGTGTACTTGAATGCTTCAAACTGTACATCGGAACCTGCATTGCATGAGCCTCTTGATAACTCAAGCCAAAAATAGCTTTCCCTGGTTTTCTACACTCGTTATTTTAGCTCTCTACTTGAGAATTATTCCACGAGTGCGCTTTGGAAACGAAATTGTAGATCGCCAACGAGGCGCGTAATGCCGAGCGTACTATAATCATCTCATATCCAACAAGCACGAGTGGAATAATTGTTTTATATTAGAAACGCCCACAAAATATCGAGAATTCTTCCCGACTTTCTTTGCAAAAACAACCGATTTTCAGGTTGTTTTCAATTTTGAGCAGACGCGAACAGTTACCATATTTGGAGAGCATTGTATAATGGCTCGTATAACATGATGGCTAAGCCAATCAGAACTCTAGAATTGTATCATCCAATGATTCAGTTTTTAATAATTCTCCTTATCTTACCCTTTCACCGAACCAGAAGCTCCCGAAGACTCGGTG